CCGCAGCTGGCGGCGCCCAGGCCGGGGGCGGGGGCTATGGCGGCAGCTGCAACAGCGACGGCGGCAGCAGCGGGAGGAGGTGCTGCAGCAGAGGCGGAGGCTACTTCTGGATTCGTCAGGGCCGTGCAGCCGGCCCTCCGGCTCAGTGGCGCCGGGAGGCGCACTGGGTGCTGCTGCTGCTGCGGGCCTGCTCCCTGGACCTCTGCTGCCACCCAGGCTCTACCCGCTGCCCGCGCCCCCTCCAACCCCGCCGCCCGAGTGTGCGCCCCAGCCTGGACGCCGCCCCCGGCCGGGTCTCCACTTCTCAGCCGCTACGCCCATGACAGCACCCGTTCGAAGATGGCTGCGAAGGGCGCGCACAGCGCCCACCTGAAGGTGGAGGGAGAGCTGGAGCGCTGCCGCGCGGAGGGCCACTGGAACCGCGTGCCGGAGCTGGTCCGGCAGCTGCAGACGCTGGTCTTGCCCGGCGGCGGAGGCAACCGGCGAACCAGCCCGAGCGCCGGATACACTGTTCGGGATACTGGTGAGTGAGGGAAGGGGCTAGTTCACAGGCTCCGAGCGCGGGAAACGCACAGCCTTCTCCGGGAAGCGCGCCCAGAAAGTCTCTAGCCGCGATAGTCGCCTAAGGGATTACCCTCACTGCAGTGCTAGTTTTAGGCTCAGTGGGGTAGTTAGGAGGGTCCTGCCCCGGGAGAAAATCACAACCAGATTGGGTTCTTTGGGGAAAGAGAGAAAAATAGAATAAGCTTTCTTTGCCTTTTCTCATCATGTTGGTAACTCTCTACCGTGAAATGGTGGTACCTGCACGTATCAGTGGTTGGGCTGGACTCTGTCCCCCAAGGTTCTCTAAACTCCAGCAGGTGAAGGCTGTGACTACTTGGGTTCCTTTTGGCTCGCTTTGACCTCCCTCCTCTTCCTCAAAGTAAATTGAGAACGGAGCTCCGTTCACAGACAAGGGTAATGTTTGACGAAGCACCAGAGCGGGGCGGTGAAGTGGGAAAGAGGCCTGGCAAGCCTCAGTTTCTTCATCTGTGGTGGAACTCAGGACCCATCCAGTTCTGGCAGTCGGAAGCTTTAGCAGCATGGCTGGTTTGGCTGGGCTGGGCTCTTGTACTCGGATGGGAAAGAACCCTGATGGGGCAGAGGGGAAAGACCCCGCCCCAGTCTCCAACATCAAGTTCTAAGAAGGGGCCTTCATCTCCGTCTGGAGAGCCCTTCCTGCGCCCTCTCTCTATGCACAGACACTTGAGAGCCTTTGTAGAAGGAGGCAGGGAGTAAATAAATACAGATATGAAGAGTTTTTAAAGACTGCCCAGCCTCTTGTTCCGTGGGAAAGACATGATAATAACAATATTATTAATAATAATTTAAAAGAAAACAAACTCACTGCCATCGAGTTGATTCTGACTCATAGTGAACCCCTTTGGATTTCTGAGGTGGTAAATCTGTATGGAAGTAGATTGCCCAGTCTGCCTTCTGTGAAGTGGCTGGTGGGTTTGAACTGGCAACCTTCTGGTTAGCAGTCAGATGCCTTAGGCACTATGCCACCATAGCTGCTTCTTATTAATAATAGTTAACACTTAACTGGTCCTCACTGTGTGCCAGACACTGTCCTAAGCACTTTAATTAACTCATTAACTACTCACAACACAAACACCCATAAGGGGAGACTTTTCCCCATTTTACAGATAAGGAAACTGAGGCACAGAGAAGTTAACTTGATCTCCCAGCCAATAAGTGGTGGAACCAGGATTTGAACCCAGGTTTCTGAGTGCATTCTTTTACCCATTAGCATTATTACCCTTCAAAGATGTATAGCATAAAATCTCTGGTCTTGAAGAGCTGGCAAAATGGACAGGGAGACAGGGAGGTAGTCAGAGGGTAGCCAGCTGTCTGTTAGATTGTGCAGCTCAGAGAAAAGGGAGAAGGCTTTAGGGAAGCAGCTGAATGTGGACAGGCTCCTGATGGGTGTTTGGGAAGGACAGGGTATGTTTGGGCAGAGAAAATGTTAGGTGGCAGGATGGACAATGGGTTTGAGGCTTTGTGGCAGTTCTGAGCATGGCAGTGAGGGATAGTGGCCAGAACTGAAGCTGCATGTTTGGGAGAGGTTGATGAGCAAAATGGATAAATTGCAGGTTCCCCTCTTTTCCCTCGGGGTGATGAGCTGGAATGGAACTGGTAAGGGTGGGAATGGGAACTAGCTCACAGAGAGGGAATTGGGGCCTGGGTGGAGAGTATGGGGATCTGAGAGGCTGGCACCACAGAGAAACAAGCTGGGCCCAAGACAGAATGGGCTGTGTTTCTGAAGCTTGTCTTCAGAGGTCTTAAGTAGGCTGAGCAGTTAATAGGTATGCCATAATAAAAGGTTTGAGGAGCCAGTGAGATTGCAACTTGGAAGTAATGTATTCAATAACATTTAAGGGACTTTTTGTTTTAAATTGCAGGACTTCTCAGAGCCTTTATCATGCTCACTTGCATGTGATATATATAAGCCAGGTTAGATTATAAATACCTACAGATGCCACATTTTCCAAACTGATCTTGATCACATTCTGGGAAACACTGTTTGGGAACTGGTTATAATTTATAAAGTGCTCTCTCTCTTTTTTTAAAAAAAAATAATCTTGGAAACAACCCTATGAGGAGGCCAGGAGTTATTGTCTCCATTTTAAAGACAGAGACACCAAGGCCCAGAGAGCTATCTGGTGGAGCTTGTACCCAAGCTTGGTCCCTGCCTCTAAGTCCACTAGTGACAGTGTGGGCCGCAGAGTACTGGTGCAGGGAGGGAGATTTAGGGGCAAGTCAACTTTTGGGTTTGGCTCTGTGAGTGAATGTTCTCCCACTGTTAAATCCAGAGACACCATCATCAGTTCACATTTGGGCATATTTGGGATTGTCTCCTGTTTCAGTTCTCTCTGCCATGAGGTTCCTTGATCCCTCCAGGGATTGCGAGCTTGCTTTGTTTTGGGGCATTGGTACTGACCCGCCTGTGGCCCAGGAGGGAGATTCTTGAAGTTCCACCAGATCTGTTGGGTCAGTGACCCGAAGCTTCAAAGCTACATAATTGGTGTGAGGGGAAGGAAGGTGCTGAGGCCGGGAGTTGATCCCCATTTTACAGACTGAGGCCCTGAGGCTCCGCTGTGTCAGTTATGTTTCCTACAGAAACTAATAGCTCTAGGAGACCAGACTCCATTCCAGGTGGAGCAGAAGGTAAAGACAGAGCTGTGGGGCTTGTCCTGGTCTAGTGGGAGTGAGGGGTCAGGAGATGCTTAAGCACACCCACACCCTTTTCCTGTCTGGGGAATTGCTCCCCTACCCCAAGGGGAAGGCAGTTGCTACTGTTTGTAGGTTTTCTTTCAAACTCACATCCGGTTCAGATTTGGTCAGGATGGCAGCAGGGGAACCCCACAGTGTGACTGGCTGTGATGGAGGCTTGTTCATGTAAAAACAAATCAAGTAGCTGAAAAGAAAACTTTATTATGAAAATTTCAAAAACATCATGTAGGGAAAAGAATGAATCCCACGTACTTATCAACCAGCTTTACTGATTATAAACTCTTGAACAGTTTTGTTTGAGCTATGCCACCACCCATTTCTCCCCTACACTTAAATATTTCAGTATATGTTTATTAAATAAGAAGTCTTTCTAAAAATATAACTACAGAGCCATTATCATTACTCCCCCCACCCCAAAATTTAACAAGTGAATTTTATAGCTGGTTTGTTAGAATCAGGATCCAAATAAGGTCACACATTGTATATGTTTCATATCACGTGTTTGTGCTTCTGCCTTATCTTTCCATCTATCCATCTCCAGTGTATAGTCCCAGCCTCATTTCTTTTTTTATGTGAGTGATTTCTTTTTTTTCCTCTTAACTAGAGGCTGTTCTGAGCATTTCTTCAGTAAATTAGCGTGGGTGTGTGGGGGACAGGTGGTCTCTCACCAGTTGTAGCTAGAAGTTCCTAGCCCTCAGCAGTTTTATGGGGTGAGCAGCTACAGTCATTACTGTGCCCCCATTTGACCTAGTGGGGAAGGGCCTAGTTAGAGACCATGGCTTGGCAGGCCAACCCAGGTCTTCAGATTGCAAAGCAACAGGCTGTGGAGAAGGGAACACAGCTTCCAAACACCGGGTCTGGGGAGAAAGCAGGTGTCTTTGAGGTGGGTCCCTGTGACCAGAGCTCGTGGGAGGGGCCTGGAGAGGAGTAGGAGCTGTCAGGAAGGTAAATGCCAGAGGCCTTTAAAACTAGGGTGAGGCAGGGAACCTTGGTGACCATGAAGTAGTTCAATCCACTGGGACATCCTTTGGGCCTCTGCTGAGGGCAAGGGGCCTGGGCTGCCAGAATCATACCTAGGCTCCCAGAGTCCAATTTGCTGTCTTCAGGAGGATCTTTCTAATGCTCCCTTGGAAGAGAGATGCCTGGAGCATTTTACCTAAACTGAATAGCAAGTGTTTTTGGCTAACAGAATATAAAAAGCAACTTGTTTTGGAGAAGGACAGGAAAGCCTCTATCTGTCTGGATTTTATTTACCACCTGAAAATCTAAAACTTTTAATTCTAGGATGTCTTTCAGTTCCATAAACTGGCCAGTTGAGAATAGTGAGGTGAAAAGACGAGGGGAAAGGGGGAGAGATGTGGGGGAAGGAGAAAGAGAATTGGACAAAGGAAGATGAGAAATAATTGAATTCCTGGCACCTAGTGAATGCCTGCTGAACAAAAGCAAATAACTGAATGGAGAAGTGAACAGGGACGGCAAAAAGGCTTGGGAGAAAGACCTGGAGTATTAATGAATGAAGTTGTCTGAAACTGACAGGTATATGAAAATATCTGTCATTCGAACAGAACAAGGGGACACTGCATGGTTTAAAATCAAGAAGGGAGTATGTCAGGGTTGTATCCTTTTACCATACTTATTTAGTTTGTATGCTGAGCAAATAATTTGAGAAGCTGGATTATATGGAGAAGAATGTGGCATCAGGATTGCAGGAAGACTCATTAACAACCTGCAATACACACATGACACAACTTTGCTTGCTGTGTTAGACCTGGCAATCTGCTTCTGTAAAGATTACCCCTGTCAGGGACAGAATAGGGTTTCCAAGGCACTGGTATCAGGATAATGTTGGCCTCATAGAATGAATTCAGAAGTGTTCCCTCCTCTTCTATTTTTTGGAAGAGTTTGAGAAGGATTAGTGTTAATTCTTTAAATGTTTGCTACTCAATCCCCTTGCTTTTACATATGCAAAATAAATTAGGGGAAAGCAGCTTGCCTAGAGTTGCACAGCCAGTTTATAACTCAGGAATGCTGGTTAGGACTAGGGTCCACTGCTAAGTGGCCCAGCCCTCACTCTCTCTGAGATTTGGAAATGGAGAGAAGATTGCCTTTCATTCTTGGCTTGATTTAATTTTTATTTTTGATTGGGTAATGTAGTCACATGAGTCAGAATTCCAAAGGTACCAGAGTCAAGAGTGATCAGCCTCCTTGCCATTTCCTCTCCCCTTGGGAGAGGAGGTTATCAGGTGTTTGTGTATTCTTTCACATACTTTCATGCATAAACACAAAGTGCCGTTTATGTATACTGGTGTGCACTTTACTTTATCAGTTCTCCTGGAGCTTATTCCATATCAGCATATACAGAGCTTCTTCATTCCATTCTGTTCCATTTTTATGCCTACATGGTATCCCTTTTTTTAATGCACTATACCTCTGGTAGCGTAGTCCCTAAGGCACTTGACTGCTACAAAGAAGGCTAGCAGTTCAAACCCACCAGGCACTCCTCGGAAGGAAGATTGGGCAATCTACTTCTGTAGTGATACCGCCTCGGAAACCCAAGGAGGGGTCGCTATGAGTCAGTTCTGACTCAGTGGCATATGACAACAACACAATGACAGTACTTTATACATCACTCCTGAGAGTGAGTGGCGGTCCCTGGCTGGACTGAGAATGCTGTCCCAGCAGCAGAAAAGACATTGGGAAAGGATGGGACCAAGCATATACATTCCTGGAGACATTGTTGGGTTCTCATTTCACTCCCTGAGCTTTGTGGCTTCCTTGCGGAAGAGGATCATATCTACTGAGTGGCAGAGGCCCTGGGTGGTGCAAGCGGTTATCACACTTGCTGCTAACTGAAATGTTGGCAGTTTGACTCCACCCAGAGGAGCTTTGGAAGAAAGGCCTGATGATCTACTCCTGAAAATCAGCCATTGAAAACCATATGGAGTACAGTTCTACTCTGGCACTCATTGGCTTGCCATGAGCTGGTGTCAACTTAATGGCAACTTAATGGCAAACCAAGTGGTGAGCCTGGCCCTCACCTATGTTGCTGGAAAGGGAACGAGTCTGTCACATAGAGCACAGTGACCCAAGGCTATTGTGAAAGCACACTTAGTTGGGCCAGATCTCAGACTTTGTACAGTAAATGCCTAGCTCCCATCCTGAGTCTCTCTGCTAAAGGTAGCAGGAACATGGTGGTCACAAGGCTGGTGGTGCTTTCAGAGTGGTAGAGGGAGGTAACATATGAAACTCAGCAGTATGATATTACCTGCCAGGTGGGATGTCTGCAGATGAGGGGACATACATGAGAGTTCTTTGGAAACCATGTCCAAGGGCTTGCCTTGTGTGGTAGTTAAAGTTGTGTGTCAACTTGGCTGGGCCTGGTTGAGTGGCTGGGCAGCTGGTGGTAGTTATTCCCCATGATGAAACTGGCAGTTTACTCCATGGTGGCATCTGCCACAGGGAGCTGAGTAGTTGCTTTAGGGATGTGGTCTGCTTCCCATATATAAGAGGCAGCTTTGGGAATGGTCTCTAGCTTATGGTATACTTGGAACCCTGCATGTAGCCGAGTTGTTATTCTGCAGCCTGCCATGGCTCTGCTGATCTCGGGACTTGAAGTGGACTTGAATCAATGGCCTGCCGTGTGGTTTGGTAACATCAGGACTGTGCCATTTTATTTGTCAACCTTGGGCTTGTCAGCCTCAGCAGCCAGTAGCTGCCTGAGTGAAGAGATGCCTCTAGCTTCAGTGGGCTGGGAGCAAGAGGCAGAGCTGAAGCCCAAGGTCAAGGGGCTTTCACCCAGCCCCTGGAGCCTGGCACTTGGAACTCAGACTTAAAGCCTCCAGAATTGTAAGAGAATACATTCCTGTTTGTTCAAGCCATCCCATTTATGGTATCTTCTGTTAGAGTGGCAGTAGGTAACCGAAACACCTTGAAACATGAGTAAATCTGCTTCCCACTATAACACTTGCTTTGGCTGCTAGGTTTATACCTGTGTCATCTTAAAATACCTTAAAAATGGAGAGAACAATTGTGGTTATATAGAAATTAGGAACATGTGAAATTACATTGTTAGGTCACCTCACATGTTTTCCTTCAGTAGTTTGAGGAGAATTCCTTCTTGGATTAAGAACTTATACCCACTGCAAGGCACCAATATGGTTTTGTCCCTCATTTTAAAGTCTGAAATTCTGGGAATTTATGCCAAGTCCTATGAACTTTGGGCTCCCTAGCTAGAAAATAAATGTAAAAGGGCAATTTGTAATGTACTTACATTTTTTCATTGAGGGCTGAGTTTGTGAAAAATGTGTTTACTTTCTCAGATCTGAGTCATTCCTACACTGCTGGGGGCAGGTGGGGTGGTGGGCACAGGGGCATGTACCACTGTACCTTGCTCAGGGGATCGCTGACCTCTGCCCACTGTGACCCTGTCCTGTCTTTCAGATGACTTTGGGAAATTGCTCCTGGCTGAGTCCCTCCTGGAGCAGTGTTTGAAGGAGAACCACTCCAAGGTAAAAGACACCCTCCCTTTGCTGGACAAGAATGAGCCAAGGATAACTGAAGCCAAGAATTATCTCAGTGGTATACTTAGCCATGGGAAGCTGTCGGTAAGTCATCAGCCCTCCATGCCTGGGTCTCTCTGCCCTCCTCCAGCCTCCCATCTGCTGTCAAGCCCTCCTTGGGCCAGTTGATTGCTTGAGCAACAAGCCCCTCTTAAGACTTGTCTCTGCACTGTTCAGTGCAGTAGCCACTAGTCACATGTGTCTGTTAAACACTTGAAATGTGCTTAGTGCAAATTGAGATGTACTGGGAGCAAGAGGTGTGGTGGGCACAGGGGCTATAGGTATAGAACATACATTGGATTTTAAAGACTATAAAAGAGGATACAAAATATCATTGAATTTGTATATTGATTACATGTTGAAGTGCTAAAACTGTATATATTAGATTAGATAAAATATGTTATTAAAATTAATTTCACCTATTTTTATTATTTTTCCATGGGAGAAAGATGTGGCAATCTGCTTCTGTAAAGATTTACAGCCTTGGAAACCCTGTGGGACAGTTCTGATTGTCCTGTGGGGTTGGAATGGAGTTGATGACAGTGGGTTTTGATTTATCATTTTTAATATGACTTCTAGGAAATTTAATGTTACATACATGTCTTGCATTTGTGGCTTATGTATATACGTCTATTGGACAGTGCTGGGTTGACCTAAGTACTTTGGGTTCTTGGTAGGTCACAGGGAAATAGAACCCAGTGAGCATGTGATCTAGTTAGAAGCAGGCACATACAGAATTGGCTAGTGACAGAAGTGCTCAATAATAGAGTGAACCAAACTCACTGCGATCGAGTTGATTCCGTAATAGAGCAAGCCAGTTTAAATCCATTGTGTATTAATTGAGCACCTACTGGATGCAAGGCCCTGAAGGAGGTGTTAAAAAAAGAAAAAAAAAAGAAAAAACAAACCAGTTGCCACTGAGTTGATTCTAACTCATGGTGATCCTGTGTGTGTAGATTAGAACTGGGCTCCATAGGGTTTTCATGACTGTGACCTTTCAGAAGCAGATTGCCAGGCCTTTCCCTAGGCACTTCTGGGTGGGTTTGAAATGCCAACCTTTTGTTCGCAGCCAAATGCTTAGTCATTTGTGCCACCCTGGGACTCCTGAAGTGGTATAACTAAACCAAACAAAACCCACTGTTGTTGAGTCAATTCTGACTCATAGCGACTCAGTAGGACATAGTAGAACTGTCCCATAGGGTTTCTTTACTAGAGCAGACTGCCACATCTCTCTCCAATGGAACGGCTTGGGGATTTGAACCGCTGACCACTGACCTTTTGGTTAGCAGCCCAGGGCTTAACCACTGCACTACCAGTGCTCTTCTTGAAGGAGCCATAAAGGGGAATATAATTATAAGTTTCTCTGAGATCTTTGCTGCTCAGAGTATAGTCCCTTCACCAACAGTGTGGGCATCCTTGTTGAGCCGGTGAGAAACACACCATCGGAATCAGAATCTGCATTTTAACAAGATCTCTTTGTGATTTGTGTGCACATTTAAGGTTAAGACCGTTAAAGATCACAATTGTGACTGATATTCTAAGCCATAATAAGGGTATGGGTTATGTCATTAGAGACCCAGAAAGCAAGTGATTTTTCAAGAAATGCTTTAAAGCAATATATTTACTGACTTAAACATTTGATCAAGCCCTTACAGTATGCAAGTCATTGTGTTATGTACTTTTAGGGCAATAAAGATAAATCAAGCATGGGCCTCACCCTCAAAGAGGTTGTAGGACCACTGAGAAGATAAGTTCTATTAACAAATAAATAGCCATGGTCCAAAGTGGACTGTGATACCATAGGAGTGGTGTGCATGCATGCCACAGGAGTGAAGTTCAAGGGGGCCACTTCGCTGGGGTGGGATGAAGAACAGACTCAGAATGACAGTAGTACTAGATTTGAATGTGTCTGAGGACTGGACTATGTATCAGGGATGGATGTGGATGCACAGAGATTGGTCTGGGCACTATCCAAGCTAAGGAAGCAGTGTTGTTGTTGTTGTTACGTGCCATCGAATTGGACCCGACTCATAGCGACCCCTCCTTGGGTTTCTGAGGCAGTATCTCTACGGAAGTAGATTGCCCCATCTTCTTTCCGAGGAGTGGCTGGTGCGTTTGAACCGCCAGCCTTCTGCTGAGCAGTCAAGTGCCTTTGGCACTATGCTACCAGAGTATTCCTACAGGAAACAGGAAGTAGATCAATTTAGCAGGAGTAAAGAGGAATAGTAGGTAATGAGGTTGTGAAGGTACATTGGGAGCAGAGAGAAGGACTTGAATATCAGACCAAGAAATGTGGGGCTTATTCTGTAAGTAGTGTGTGTATGGGGCAGTGTGGGGAGGTGTACTGGAAGTCTGTTGTTAGTTGCCATCGAGTGGATTCTCAGGGTGACTCTATACATGCAGGGCAGAACTGTTGCATAGAGTTTTCAAGTCTGTGACCTTTCGGAAGCAGATTGCTAGGCTTTTCTTCCAAGGCACCTCTGGGAGAGTTTGAGCTGCTAACCCTTTGGCTGGTAGTTGAGCATTTACCTGTTTGTGCCACCCAGGAATAGTTATTGTTTTCAGGCTCCTTGACAGTGATTATTGTAGCTCTAGAGGTTTGCATTGGCTTAAAATAGCTGCTTGGTGCTGCACATATCCATTGACCTCACGGCCCCTTCACTTCCTCACCTGCCAATTGAAACAGTGGGACTTGATGGGTGGGTTCCAAACTTTTCCTCCATCAAGACCCTTTTTTATTTTCTTCTTTCCAGTAAACTTCATTCAGTTTTTTTTAAAATAACAAAAGTGATGTATACTTATTGTAAAAAATTAAACCAGTAAATAGTTTGAATAATAAATAAAAGTCTTTGTGTGCCACCCCTAATCCCATGCCCACCTCCATACTCAGAGCTGAGAGCTAGTTACCCTTTGGTATGGGTTCCATTTTTCTGTACATTTGCAACCCTGCATACACACATGGAGCCTTCTTTTCTTGTTAGAATCATAGGAGACATATTTGACAACATGCTATTTTTCACTTAGAACTTTCTCTTGGTGCTTACTCCATGCCAGTATCTCATTCATTGTATTGGCTGAATAGTTTTCATGTGCATTATATTGAGAGCTTTGGTGGCATAATGCCTAAGGCATTTGACTGCTAACCAGAAGGCTGGTGGTTCAAACCCACTAGTCACTCCTCAGAAGGAAAATGAGGAAATCTACTTCTGTAGTAATACTAACTCGGAAACCCAAGGAGGGGTCGCTATGGGTCGAAATCTACTTGACAGCAGTGAGTTTGGTTTTTGGTTTTGCATTGTATTGGAGATTGCTTTGTCCACCATAGCACACTTATTAAATATAAGTTTTACCATGTTTTATCAATCAAAGACATGCATAGGTACCAACAACAGTGAGAAATCCACTGTTATCCCAGTGTATATATTTATTTCCAGACCAGAGCAAGAAACTTGCTCTTGATCAGGCAAAATAAAATGATTAAAAGTAGTTTGTGGGAGTTTCTACCTTACCCCCAAAGGTCAGAATGTGTCTGGGGGTGATTTTTCTTGGCAGTGCATGAAAACTCATGTGAATCCCTGAGACTTCTGAGTAGCTCTGATGGAATGAGGAGAGATGGGGTAGGTGGGTCCTGGGATACCCACCCTACATGATTTTGAGGTCCTGTGCAGCTCAGTTCTGTGGAAGTGAGTGAAAACAAGCTATTTGTCATAATGTCCCTTATCCAGGGAGCACCCGGAATTGCATTCACTCATCGATGCCTAACAGTGACCCAAGGTGCTGTTTCCCCTTACTCAATTTCCAAGTGAAAAAACTGGCACCTGGGAAGGTTAAGACACTTAGCCAAGCACCACAGTAGCAGGTGCTGGATTCAAATCCAGGCTTGTTTGCTTCCGCATCCCAAGTGCTCATGCTTTTTGCTACTTCTCATCTCTGCCTTTCAAAGTACTAGAGAGGAAATAAAATAATGACCCGGAAACTTGGATTAATGTTAACATTGATGACAGCGCTCTCTTACAGGCCTCATTTTACCTCTCTGAAAATATTTTCTCATTTGTTCTTGCCTCTGGGTTTCTGCGTGAGGCCCTTCATTCTTCCCTTTTCATTGATGAAAGACTGATGCACAAAAAGAATAGGTGACATACCTGATCTGCACAGCAGAGGGACAATTAACCCAGACTGGCCAACTTCCTGCCTAGTGTCCTTCCAGACTAAGAACATTTCAAGTTCAAATGCACAGGTCACAAAGAGTGTTGCCAGCTTTTTATTTTGCCAAGTAAAGGGATTAGAAAAGCAGGGGGGAAAAGGAAAAAACGAAACCAACTACAAAACTGTACCATCTCCTCCTATTGCCATTACCACATGAAAGAAAGACTATCTTAAGACCAAGAAACAAGACAGCTATACTTTCAGGACAAAAGGCAGCCTTTTAAATAGTATAAATTTAGCTTTATGAACTATCCACTACCTTGTCCTTAATTTTTCCCCAGCCTGATGGAAGCTCTGCTGTAAACTGTCATTGGTCCACCAGGAACCACTACTAAGCACACCCTGTCATCAAGCCCTGAAAGGTGTGCTTCTGAGCTTATTACCTTTCCTCCCTTTATAGGAGAAGAGGGTAATAATAATAATTACTCAGACCCTGTATTTATCTAGTTCCTTTCTCAAGAAAAGTTCAAAGCTCTTTTTTGGACTTTGCCTTAGTAATGCTTTCAGCAGCCCTGTGATGGAGGTCAGGAGTGGGTGTTGTTATTTCTCCCTTACCAGTGAGGCAACAGAGGCTGAGCTGAGAGGGCAAGTGCCCAGGGCTTGAAGCCAATGGGGGTGGTGAGAGAGTCATTGCCTAGCTTGTAGGGTCTGTGGATTATGTGCTTCTGAGGATATGAAACTCTTGGCCTGGCCCAAGGAATAGGTGGCCTATTTGCAGAGGCCAGCAAATGCCCTTGAAAAATTAAGCATTGGAGAGTTAATCAATAGTCAGAGAACACATAAAGTCAGGCACTCAGGGATCGAGTGAGTGGCCATTTGGTAGGGATTTTGTTTGGAATTCAGCATAAGGGAGCTCACTAGTAGTCAGGGAGGCTCCAAGGAGGTGGTGGGCCTGAGTAGGACTCAGAGGACAGAAGAAGATTTGAGTAGGCAGAGGGGAAGGGGAGATTATTCCAGGTAAGGAACCTGTGTCAGCCAAGGAAAAGGAGGAAGAAAGTATATGTATTCAAAACAGAAAGAATAGCATGAAAGGAGAAATTTGGCTTCCCTGGAAACTGGCTCTGGCAACTCCATTTTTCTTAAGTGGTTCTGGCGATAATAGATAGTGGGGAGTGGTGGAGGCCTCCCCTAGGGTACAGGCACCCCAGGTGCCTATCCTATTCAGGGACACCCCCTTCCTGCCAGGGACAGAGGCCAGGCAGGGGTGGGCCCCTGAGGTGTAACCCTAGGGAGTATTGTGAACAGAGAGGATACCTCTTTGCAGCAGGGAAGGTGCCCAGAGCCTGAACCAAAGCACAGGAATGGAGGCAGGCCATGGGAGCACACAGCTTCCAGTGCTGGGAGACCTCAGAGCAGGACTGGCCAGAGTCCAAGGCCAGGACTCCCAGGCCTGCTGGCCCACCCCTACTAGTTAGCAGCTAGCTGCTCTGGCTGTGACCAGTGACCAGGGTAGACCATAAGAGCAGCCATAAGAGATGCCCTGAAGAGCCCTTTGGTGGGGTGGAGATTTGGGTATTCGCAGCACTTGGGAAAGGAGAGGAGGAAAAACATGAGTTTAGGCACTTTGGACACCCTTGCTTCTGAACTTTCCCCCACTTCTGATTAGACAGGAAGCGTGCTCAGCAGGTCTTCTCTCATCTCCCTCCGGTCCCATACTGGTAGTGTCTATTCTTCTCCTCTCCAAGGTCCTGCAGTGGCCATGGGCTTCCCTCGGGCTTAAGGTTCAGGGCCTCTCACTTGTGCAGACTCTTTCAAAGTTCTTTTATTTTAGGTATAAATATATGACTAATTATATATTTGTGATTTTGCATTTGCTTTCTTAAAGAGGATCCCCACATTGTGTAAACTTCAGGCCCCACAACCCTGGGCTCTGCCTCTGGCTCCTTTGATGTGTTCAGAACAGGTGGCTGACCACCTGAGGCCCAGTCTCACTGGAGCCTTTGGGGGCATCAAGAGAGAGAAGACAGGGGTCACCTGGAAGCTGCCTGAAGTCTAGTTGAGGGCATAAGATATATGCAAAGGAAATAATTAGGGATTCAGACAAGAATTTCATTAAGAGCCACAGACCAGGGAGTGTGGGTATGCTAGAGTGTCTGGGAAAGCTTCTGGAGCGAGGGAAGTTCTAGCAGTGTCTTAGGCAAATTGGCATGGCTCATGGCTCAGTGGGGACATTTGTCCCAGGATACTCATGGGGGTCTGGCAGAAGCATTGGAGCAGGAACCTGCTAATGTGGTTCTTGTCCTTTTAGCCACAGTATCTGTGTGAGGCCATGTTGATCCTGGGCAAGCTGCACTACATGGAGGGTTCATACCGAGATGCCATCAGCATGTACGCACGGGCTGGGATCGACGACATGTCTGTGGAGAACAAGCCCCTCTACCAGATGCGGCTGCTGGCGGAGGCCTTTGTCATCAAAGGTAGATATGGATCCTCTCTGACTCTCTGAGCTCTTTACCACAGTGTCCAGCTAGTCTGGCCCCCCAGGTGCCTGGAGTAGGAGACAGCCGTGGGGCAGTGGATACAGTTGAGAGTGGGCCTACAGGAGCAATGTTCTAGATGTTTAACCCCAGTAGTTCCAGAGCTCTGGCCAGCTAGGATGTACACCAGCCATTCCACGTTCTGGCTGAGCAGCCTGGTGCCCAGGCCAGGATGTTAGAACACTCGTGTTCTCCGCTGGCTCTGTTGATACCTAGTTACCCAGCTGTGTGCCTTTGGGCCAATCACTTCTTCCCCTATCTTGGCCCAGTTGGCTTAATCTGTAAGACAGAGGTCATGACTGCCCTTTCCAGGTTACCATGACCAAGAAGAATCAGCTGAGTTGTGTACTCAGGTTGAGAAAGGCTTACAGAAATGTCAGGCTGGTTCTAGTGACTGCATTGACTACAAATTGGATGCCTGATGCTGGAGAGCAGTCAGTCCGTCCTTGGGTATCGGTTGGGTACTGACTGTGAGCAGCCCAGTGAGCAAGTGCTAGGATCCAATGATGAAAAGGTCTGAGCTGTTCCTGCCTTGGAGATTCCTGTTGCCAGGAATCTTGGATGTTTGACCATTTCCCTATCCCAATACAAACTAACTCCCAGAGAAAAGTCTAGAAATGCCCATGTCTTTGTAGGGATCATTACCTGGCATCAGCATAGAGTTCATATCACCATTTTTTCTGTTGTACATAGGAACATTCTAACATTCTCCTCATCTTATATATGGGGAAACTGAGGCTCAGAGGGGGTAAGGACCTTGTCCAGAGTCACCCAGAGATTTATGGTAGATCCAGGACTAGACCTTCTACTCTCTGACTTTGGTCTAGGAATGGGATTGACCCCTGTATCCTCACTCCCCTTTTCCCACACTCACACTTCTCTGTCTCCTTTGGGTTGCCGTGGGGTGACTGTGACATCTGTACAGGGCAGATCCTCTTTTGGCTCTGAGTTGTAAGAATTTTTTTTTTTTAAATTGTATTTTGGTGGAATATATGTAACAAAATATTTGCCATTTCAATAACTTTTACATGTGCAATTCAGGGACATCAATTCCATTCACTACATTGTGCAACCATCACTACTATCCATTTCCAAACCTGTGAGAGAAGCTCAGCACCTCCTAAACAGTGACTTCCCCTCTGCTCTGCTAGCAGTCCCATTTATTTAACCATGAATAAATTTTGGTGGGAGTTGTTGTAGGTTGTTTTTCCATCCCTGAATCCTTGGGTCCCTCTCCTCATTGAGAGGTTGCTCATGCTGTCCCAAGAACTCCACCGAGATTGTCACTCTGGACAGACCCAGCACCATCCTGTGGGAGGGCAGAGGCCCATGCGGGATGGCCCATATGTGTATGTGTGGGTCTTCTCCCTTTGTTCTCTCATCCCCCTTTCTGTGCCCTGGCATAGCAGTCTTGGGGATGATCTTCATTTGGGGCTTGGATCTTTCGGGTCTCTGGAAAACCACTTCTTCCATGGACTCCCCAAACTGAATGCCCTTCCTTGGGTTTTCTTTTCAGTACTTTTCCCTGTAAACCTGGCTCAGTACATATTGCTCCCTCTCTCCTGCTCTCTGCTCTTTCCAGCATGCCTCCAGCTTCTTGGGGGAGCACAGTCCCGGTGGTCAGAGGTCCTGCAGGGGAGGTAAGGAGCCGGGCACTGCTGCCCACATGGGCTGCTCAGACACAAGCTTTGCTAGCTCATACCCCCACTGCCTGCATGTGACCCACTGTCCTGCCTCCTTTCTGCCTGTCCTGTCCTGTTGCAGTGACTGTACTTTGCTGCTTGGCATGCTGAGGTTTACCTGCCTGTGTGTGCTTGAGACCATGCATGTGGCTACCAGGGTTGCACAATGCTGATTTTCCTGGGAGTGGGGGGATCTGGTGGGTCTCTCCTTACAGAAACTAGGGGCCACACCCAAAAGGGGTAGGGATGATGGGTCAGTCATCCTGAAGAAATTGTATGAGCATGAGAGTGGTAGCAGCAGGAGGCCAGAGAGTTCACAGAAAAGTATTTACTAAGCCCTCACTCCCTGCCAAGTGTGTCTTCATCTAATCCACACAGTAACCCTCTGAGTAGGTGTACTCTTCATTCCCACGATACAGATGAGGAGTTGAGGTTGGACCCATGTCAGATGAGGAGCTGAGGTTGGAAGAGGTAAAGTGACTCATGTAAGATCCCATAGGAAGTGGTAGAGCCAGGGTTCAAAACCAGACAGCCGGAGTTCATAAACACCCCCATGGTACTGCTGCTCAGAATTTTAGATTGCAGGAACTCTAGAAATGATCTAGGCTGTGTTACGGATGAAAGAACTGAGGCTAACAGAAATGAGGCACAGGGGACATCTGTTAGCTCGTGGATGAACTAGAGACTTCCACCCAGAGTCAGCCTGACCATCAGTTTCTGGCTGTCTCCGATTGTAAGCCTGACTCTCTCACTCCTGAGGACTCCTCCTGGCCATGCTGTTACACTACAGCTTTATTTGCTTTTTTACAGTGGATTCTGTTCTCTGGTTCCATTTGGGCAGGGAGTTTGTTTCTAAGCACACCTGACTGGAGGGAGGATGTTGGGATGATATGGGGCAGGAAAGATGAGTGGGCCTGACAGGGCCTCTTCCAACGCCTGTTGGAAGGCTGGCGGAGGAACTGAGTATGGATGTCTCCCACGTGGAACTGCTGGGTCTCTTCACTCCCACTTCCAAAATACAATACCACATTCACTCACCCTCATTCCCCTTTAGAACAGAGGAAGTTGGCATTCAGAGGCATCCCTCACAGGGCTGGGTCTCCTCTGAAGTGGGAGGGATGCGGGTGAGGCCCAAGGATATTTTCTGATTCTCAGAGAAGACTTTAGATCCCAACTTGGGAGCTTGAGCTCAGGGGCTGTTGAACTAGTCTTGGGTTTCCCTTGCCTGAAGTGCATAAACATTGTGGGTACAAATGTGTGTATTTGGTGGTGATAGAGCAGTAGTTATTGTCTGTAAGTCAAGTTTATTTGTTCAGAGCAGTGTGAAAACCACGGATGTTTCACTGAGGTAGAAAAGTGTAACATCTTCATGAAAACATCTGTCACTTCCATATCCAAGTGGTCTGTGCCTGGCTCTCAGTGCTCCCTCTCACCCAGTCTGTTAGTCACACCTGTGCTCAGGCTGAGCCAGCTCCAGGTTGATCCTGCTGGCAGTAGAGTACTGGATTTTAGGGCCTTGTGGTGGCACCTGGGAGATGGCTGGGCCCTGTCAGAGGAGGAAGAACTTCTAAGCTTTGTTATCAACAGACAGTTTAAGATGACTTGAACAAATTAAAACCCTTGATTTCCATCCTTTCTCCCTCTGGCTTAGTAGCCATCACTACTATATACTTGTTGATTAGGCCAAAAGCGTAAGATTGATCCTTGATGTTCTTTCTTCTAAACCCCCCTGTCTATCCAGTCCACCAGTAAATCCTTCAGACTCTGCCTCCAAAATGTAGCCCAAATCTGATAATCTGATTATACCCCTTCTCTACAGCTGCAGTCCTGGGCCCAGCCAAGGCCATCTTGCTGAGGCAAGTAAATAGCCTCATAACTGGTCTCTGCCCTCTGTCCTCTCCCTTTGCATCTCACCCTACGCACATCAGTCAGAGTCATCTTTCCAAAGCATAATGGTCACACGGCTCCCCTGCTGAAACCCCTTCAAGGGTTTCCACTGCAACAAAGGCAAGATTTAAACTGCTTATCCTGGCCTTCGGGGTCCCTAAACCAAACCAAGCTCACTGCCATCAAGTTGATTCTGACTCATAGTGACCCCCATTGGGTTTCTGAGGTGGTAAATCTTTACAGAAGTAGATTGCCCCATCTTCCTTCTGTGGAGCAGCTAGTGGGTTTGAACCTTCTGGTTAGCAGTCATATGCCTTAGGTACACTACCAGAGCTCCATAAGTGGTATAAACAGTTTGTGGTCAAGTATTAACCAAAAGGTTGGCAGTTCAGACCTACCCAGTGGTGCTTGGAAGAAAGGTCTGATTAACTTCTTCCATAAAGGGTACAGCCAAGAAAACCCTATGGGGCAGTTCTACTTTGCAACACATGAGATTGTTATGAGTTAGAATCAACAGTAATGGGCTTGTTTTTTTGTTTGTTTGTTTGTTTGTTTTGGTGAGTCACTGACGGGGAAGGCAAGGACACCCTGCGAGTCTAGTTGGGAGAACAAAAAAACTCCAGAAATACCAAACTCAGTCATCTAGGCAATTTCATCTCACAGCAAACCCCATTGAGTTTCCAAGGCTGTAAATTTTTATGGAAGTAGATTGCTCTGTCTTCCTTCTGCAGAGTGGCTGGTGGGTTTGAACCACTGACCTTCTGATTAGCAGCCAAATGCCTTATCCACTATGCCAGAGGGTATTAATGTGAGAAGACTGGATCTAGTCTCAAGTATGGCATTTTTAGCTGAGGGGTCTAGAAATGAATCTTTCTCCCTAAATTAGATTTCTTATAAGTAATCCTAGGATAAGGTTAAAGGTCATCATGAGCATCACTTGGAAGTGTTTTCTAAGAACATACTCTGTTGTTTCTAATATATAGCATATAATTTAATTATCACGGTCACCCAATGAGCTTGTAACTCATATCTCTGTAAACATTTTGAAGTAATTATCCTTTGAGCCTTTTTTCCTATGTATTTGTATGTGCTTTTTTTCCTAACAAAAATAAATTCATGCAATCATGCTTTGTAGTTTGCTTTTTTAAGTTAGTATCTTATGAACCATTTTCCACTAGATATGTACATCACTTCTTAAAATACCTTCACATTTCATAGTAAGGATCTTTTGTGTTTAAGTGAGCCTGTCCTCCAGTGAACCTGCCCTGTAGGTTAAATCTCTCTCTTTTTTGTTTTTTTGCCATTATAGACAATGCTGTTGAAGCTAAACTTTTGCATACATTACTGTTTTTAGAATAAAATTTTCAAAAT